GTTTACTATCGATTTTCATATGGTTTTATTGCATCGCTTATTTGCTCATCGTTGCGTAGCAATAAAGCGTTTCTGACTTATACGTTTAAAAGCAGATGAAATAAGGTTAAGTTTTAACTTTTCCTTTTGTAATGTTACTTTGGACCAACAAAAAAAAAGTAAAATCTTCATGTCTATTTTTAGCTGAAAATTACCTGTCAAAAAATATCAATTAATTCTTGACTTTTTTTTTTAATTTAAATCATAATTTAAAGATTAATATTGCTCAGCTAACACGCATCAAACTGCTATGTATATTGAAATATCATGTACCTAGACAACTTATTTTCGTGCTACTTCTTGAATTGAAATTTCGAAAATATATAACTGTTATTTTCGATTCCTGCAAAATAAATTTTTTTGTAGAATTACTTTAAAATCGTTAAAACTAAATATTTTTCGGATTATTCTAGGGGCTCTTCCGACCGGTAATTAAAAAAAAAAAAACAAGTTTGCCTACCAACTAAAAAATATAGCAAGGTTCTTAAAAAATTTAAGCTCATTTAATACCACAATATGGTTATCAAGCGGCATAAGCTTTGAACTAACATGTCCACATGCTACACATTTATAATAAAAGGTTTTTGAAAATACTGTAATTCACACCTACTCTTGGATTGGTTTGCCGCTTATCTAGAGTTAAAAAAAAAACAAGAAAATTCCAAAAAGTTTATTTTCCTATGTTTTTTTGGAGCACGCTAATGTACTTATTAACTTAAGGAAGTACGAAAATATTGCCGACTCTAATTTCTTTCCCCGAGATCATATTCCAGCCGATAGACAGTTTTTTTTTTAAACGTTAAAAGGAGAACGATTGAAGTCGTCGTACTTCCCGAAGTCATTGCAGCGTGCAGTCTCCCACATGCGATTATGTAAATACTCGTATGCACGAAGTCCTAAAATGTTCCTCAAGAAGTCTGCCAAAATAAATCTGAGTTGTTCCGGGGACGTAAACCCGACGACTTTAATCGATAGTCTTTCTCCATGCTGGCGAAGAGGAGCCTTCTATGTTGTAAGCCATATACCCGTTTTCCAACGTCCATGTCACTCTTTGATCCGTCGATATTGGCGTCTTTAGAGGTTTAGTTTGGGCTTTTTTCACAATAGGATATGTTCTGGATTAATACTTTGCAGGTGTATTTAATATTCAGCCCCGATCTATTAACAAAGTCGATACGAAATCCTCCGTCCGGAAGTAATAAAGAGAATATATAAAAGCGGTTCTCCCGAGATGGGTCTTGCTGCAAAAAGTAAAGTGGTATATGCACGCTGGCATAAGTAATACCGTAACAAGCTCTGCGGTCCAGCACAGTGAAAATTTTCGGAGTTTGTACTGCCAGAAATTTATCTCGGCCTTCTTCCACCAGGCGAATGCAACGTAAGCTTAAACGGGCTTGTCATCTTGGATTCGATGTCTCAGTTCCAACGATCTGGCCTCTTATATATATACATACATACATATATGGGCAAATCATAGCATTGCGAACGTTACGTTCTGACGTTTCTTTTAACTAAATATTTTGGCGAAGAAAAAATTATAAGTTAACATTTTTTCTGGTATAAGGGAAGGTTTAAAGCAGTACTTATGGGAACAAAATAATGGAAATTTGAATTTAATTTAATTATTGAAAAAGGAGGCGATTTTGAAATAACCATCGAAGTCAACCGATCTGCGCAAATTGTAACGTATGGAGAGCACAATCTACAAAAATATTTTGAAGAGAAAATAATGAACTCAACAAAATGCATTATAAAAGCAAACTAAAGATTGGGTTAACTTTAAAACAATTGTATATTGGCGTTCAGGATGTTACGTTACGGACGTTACTCATTTCGCCGTTGAAAAAAAACTGACTTTTTAAAGAGATATTGTGGTATTTTATTGAAAGATATAGTGCTCAAAACCAAGGCTCTTACAGCTTTGTTTCAAGAAGTAAGAGAGGCAAATCAGATTTTCAAATAAGTGTGAAAAGAAATGTGAAACAAGAATCTGTTATACTATGCCATATTTTACACAAAAATGCGAGAATTTGAATTGCATGAATTTTTTCCGATTTTGGTTGTCAATTGCTCGGATTCGCCCATATACATGACTATAGCTAAGTGCTAGTTTCATAAGACCATGTCATCAAGAGCTAACTTATGGCCATTTTCTCAAGTAGCTTTTAAAATTTATCTGCCCTTCAAACAATTTTTTTTGTCAAAAAATGTGTTCGAGGGGAAGATAAATTTTAAAACTTGTACTATATTGGTAATATTGGCATTGTTCGTTTCCTTTTTCCTGGCGAAAAACGATATTCTTTATTTTTAGATGTCTGGGACTAACTTAAATGCCTTTCTAGTATTTATTACACTGTTCGATATTTTAAATTTTTTCTAAAGAATTGACGAAACCAAGTTTTTCTGAACGTCTGGATTGTATATAGGAAAGTAATTAATAATTTACTTTTTTTAGTTGTTTACATACAGTAATTAAAAATAATTTTTTACCAAAGGTCTAATTTCGAACTTCGAAGGCCCATAGCTCGATTTTGGAGGCTAACTTTAAAAAACGGAGAAATTACTTTTTAAAAAAAATTGGTTTGGTCCAATACCCAGCCGAGTGCTGTACAGTGTAATTTTTAGGAAAACTTACTAAAATACTGATAGATTTTTTTTTGCTTCGTTCTGTTTCATGAGTTTTTGGTAATCTTTGCTTGGCCCCTGATCTCTTTATTAAAAATAAAGCAGTGCAATTAACTAGGTTGTGCGTGTGCCGAGAGAATTGAAAATTTATCTTTTTATTATTAAGGTAAAAATACCCCTTTTTGAACGGCTACCAGTTTTAAAACGATAATATACATTTTTGTAGAAAAAAAGAACTAAGCCGCCCTGCGCACACACGTGAGTGCAATTTTTCTGCAACATCGTGAGCACTTACAAACTTGCGTAATTATTGACCCTATCTGCGTCCGCATAATTGCGCAATGATTGATCAATTTCGTTATTTTTCTGAAAAATGATATTTGTATCATATAATTATAACACTTGGTGAAAAATGAGTTTTTCGTATTCACTGAATTTTCAAATTGCTTAGTTTTAAATTTTTCCTTTTTTTGTTGTATTTTCGAATTTGTACTATTTTACATAGTTGAAAGTCACAGCAAGTTTGAATATTCTCGCAGATTTAAAAAATAACAAAAATTCCAAAATTTTGAATTTTATGAAATTATTAATTTTCTTGAGATTTCTTATTTTTAGGATAATTTCCAAAATTTCAAAAACTATCGCAATCTGGGAGATTCTCGAAATTTTGGTAGAATGAGAATGGGCCGTATGCATAAAACCTAAGCAAATGCTTTTTCTTAAAATTTTAGACCGTTTACTTACTTTACTTAGTTCAAAAAATTTCATATTAAAACACATTAATTTTTCGATACTAGGTAATTGAATGCCCCACTTTTCTTAGGACATCGCCCTGGGAAAAAATGCATTTTGGAATGTCAAAAGGGTTGTTTTACTGATTATTTTTCGATTACTATACATTACATTTTCCCACTGGGTAAGTATGTATGTATGGCTTTTGCGAAAGACTAGAGGATTTGCAGTTGAATTGATTTAAGAGATTCACAAAAAGCATTGCAAACTATGCAATTGACCCATTAGACCGAAATCGTTTGAACTTCTGCAGCAATTAAAAACCATCATCTCTAGACGTTAATTCAACTTATATAAAAATTGCCGTACTGATTCGATTTGAAGCCCTTCATCAGTCTCTCCATTGGAATATTGTCCAAAATATATGTAGCTGATGTCAAGGCTTGAACTACATTTATAAGTACATATGTAGAAAACCATTAAAAAGGAAGTAATTCAGAACCGTTTGTTCAGGATAATAAATAACATTTTTATATTTGTTTGCAAGTTTGTTTATTTATTTACGTTGTTTACGCATATTCGCTTTAAATACATGATTTTCAGATTTTAATTATGCCGAATAAATTTTATTTACTTTAAGTAGTTACATGTTTGGATAAAGTTATTTTATGTTAAATATAATACATAAAGTTAAATTTTTCTTAGCGTACATAGCTATCAATTATAAAATAAAAAAGTATGCACAAAAAAAATTATAGCAAAACAATAATTCAGAGTACATAATTTAAACTGTACCAGAGCTTAAAAATGTGGAATGTTTTTTTTTTCATACTTACATAGGTACTTAATGCTAAATTTTCATTGCTAGCATACAAATTTTCCACCATTGAGTGACATGGTCGCATTACTGATAAAACAAAGGCAGCGATTCCGGAAGAGAAGTAAATATGTATGTTGTGGCTTAAAAATTTATGAAAATAAAATTGGCATGAGAAGTTTTAAAGCCTTACATTTTTTTCGCATACGTTTTTTGGCGTTTAGGCCTCGATATCTTTTATCGAAAAATTAAATTTCGCCTCTTTGAATCGCCGTTGTGAAATTTTATACGAACGTTGCCAAAACATATCTGCATAGTAAACATATTTTCTGTAACTGTTATTCGCTTTGTCGCTATCCTTCTTACTTAACTAAGTTACTAACTGCTAAGCTGCTTTAATTTTTATTAAATTAAATTCTTTGTCTTTGCAATTTTTAAAGTTAAAAAATTTTGAATTTCTACATTCTTACGCATAATTAGCTATACAAATACACAATTTACATCTTAAAAAGTAATTTTGAAGTACGCAAAAATATTTACAAAAAAAAAACAAAGGAATGCTGAAAAACTGGGAATATTTTTAAGAAAAAAAATAATAATTTGCTTAAATTATACGGAAGGAAAGAAAACGGAGATTTATCTAGTTAGCCTTCAGAAGACTGTTTTAAAACTCAGTAATTCCTGTGGTTATCACCGCGTCATGCCGGTACTTAATCGATTGGAAAATAAAATAATCACTTTCCTTTATTAAATAGTAATTAAATATTATTATTTTTTTTTATTTCAGACTACGGAAAATTCAAAGCTATCTGCCTCGAACCACTCCTCTACAAGGCTATGCAAGTGTCTCCACAACGTTTTTTCGCCCGCTCTTCTAACGATAATTATCACCCATACGACAACGTTTACTCTGCGCCGGATTCTCGCCCATATCCAGGCTCTCATTGTCACTGTCCATTGTCTCGCTGCAGTCGCCGTCCGGTTCGCCACCGCCCATAATATCCTGTTTCCGTTTGGCGGTTGCCATTTCCGCGGCATGTTTCTTGCGCCACTTGGTCCGTCGGTTCTGGAACCAGACCTGCAATCGAGTAGAGAGAAGAAAACGAAAATTGTGGAATTAGTAAAAGTTAAAGGTGGAAGAAGGAGGTGAGAATAAAATTTAATTTTAACTTAATTACTACACATGTGTAAAAGAGATTAGGGTCGCAGTTCGAGAAAAGGTTGTTTTCGCCAAATTCAGAAGTGGAATATTTAAACTTTTCTATGTATGCAATTAAAAGTGGGCAACGACAGCCCTGAATGTACGTTATTTGCCAACAGCATGCAGAGACCCTCTTTTTTCGAAAGCAACTTTCGTCAACTTTAATGTCGAGAAAACGACATTGAAAAACTCGGTGATGACGTTGGTACCCTACCTACTCACTCCCACACAAGCTGATGCGCGCGTCCATGATGGTAACATGTGTAAAGTCATTAAGTCGATGCTGGCATTAAGGCGTTTACCAACACATAAGTATTTACAAAATAATACCCTGCCGAACGACAAGGCAAGGACATGGCGAGGTACGAGTTTGCAGCAGCCAGCGCGTTTTTTGTGTAGTGCAACACAAGTGGCACAGTTGCTACACTTGCGGCAGGCATACTCACCACCCCATAAGCAGCATAATCAACGCCGGTTAACCCTCAATTAAGAGAAAATAAAGCACCAAAAGGATCGAAGTGGGGCGCAAAAACAAAGCAGCAGCGTGTGGAAGGTGGCAAGTGAAGGAGGGTACACGTTTGGGAATGCTTAGCCAAAACCATGACTAACAAAATTCGGTTGCGCTTGCGACCATGAAGGAAACGAGTATACTTTGAAGAGCAGCAACACTGACGACCTTAATAGTGTGGCATTCAACATATGTTGCCGCCAGCCGTATGTAGAATAGGAAGGCTGGAACTGTATGGACAGCTGAAAAACGGGCTCACTTTGGCTATCATGTCTCATTGTGTCATGTAAAGTATGGACTGTGCGTAAGCTTTTGTGGCAGCCACAATGAGCTGAAAAAACACTAACTCAAACAGTGTATGTTGCACGTTTGTGAGCTCATTGAGCGCCTTGAATGACGGTGCTGACGATATAATTTGCTTAGCAAAAGGAGCAGCCAAGCGAATTAAGCGCGTACAATTTTTCGCTTTGCAACCTTATACTCGTAGCTGTAGGTTGTGTGGTTTAAGGCTGCCTTGGTTTAGGTTGTCGTTGTTGATGCTGCCTGCTACTTTTGGCGGTCATTAACACACTTTTGTGCAAGACAATTCACTGCCCTATCGTCATTAGCCAGCAGCAGCAGCAGCAGTTGCTTTGCCGGAAGCTCATGCCCCGCTTTCCGTTTCTACTACCCATTGACTACTTAGTTTGCTGCCTTGCTTTGCTTTGCTTACGAGTTTATGGCCGCCATCTGTTGCCTGTTGTGATGTGGTTACAATGCAGCGGTTAATTACTTTTCAAAGTTTTAAAAATTGTGGGTGGGTCTGGGTATAACCTTTGACGTTTTTAAAAAACTTTGGATTCTTAATGGGATGTTTACAGCTTTGAACTAATTTTTTTTTTTAAGTGGGCGCAAGATAAAATGATAGAGTTTATGTATCACGATTTTGTCTCAATCTTTTTTATACATATTAGTTCACACACTTATTGAATTTTTTTCTCTACCAGACTGCTTGTATAGCCCTTCGTAGCCGCAAAACCCAAACAGTTCACACTCGCCGTTTAGTGGACCAAAACGGAAGATGTACAAAAGATAATCTCCATACTAGACACAGATAGAAAGCATTGGAAAAACCAATATGAAGTTGAGAAAATAGAAAAACCATGATAGCTGGCAGCATTCGGCTGAGGCAAAAGCCTTCACGCCTAGCATTTCTAGCAACAAACACACTCAAAAATGCAAACAGAATACACATACATACAGATTTATTCCAAAATAAAGCGAAAGCTTCTGTGCTCGAGCCTGAAATACCCAACAACTTAAGGCAATATACTCGTATGTTATACACTTGTATCTACAGGAGTTACAGATGTCTGTCTGTATATCTGACTCAGAGATTTTTTGGCCACAGCTGTTGCCACAAAATAATGACCATGAAAAGCATCCTTAATGATGCCATCTAATGGTGTGTTGGCTTTGCTGCTGTGCTTCTTCATTTCGCAGTAAAATCTGCTGCATCATTCCTTGCGTGGCCTCTCGAAAGCCATGTCTGCCTCTATTGTGAAGGCGGTGAAGCCAACAACGCCGTTATGCTGGCGCTGAGTTTGGCATTTTTTGCAACTGCTTGCTGGCAACATTTGTGCTTTGTATAAATATGCGTATACATATGAATGAAAATGGCTTGTTGAAAATGCAATATACATACATATAGTACATTTTGCTGCTTATTTCGTCATACACACACACATTTGTATTCACACGTAGATGTACATACATATGCCGCAATAGAATCTCAGTCAATGCCACTTTTTTCATCATTTCTTTCTTTTAATTCTCTTGTTGTCATAAAGAAAATTAATTACATTTTTATTTGTGCATAATGCGGCATATAATAATTACACAAATGTGCAAATGAAGTTGTAAATTATGAAAGGAATGTGTTACTATGGCTAATTAAATGCAGGTTGTATTGCTATTGTCCTCCGTTTGAGCGATTGGCTCTAGAAAGTTTTGGCTTGGAGAATATAATAACATTAAAAGGGACTTGTTACTCATGTGCCAGTGAAGGGGACATATCGACGGCTGAGTGGGAGATTGACCAATCTCAGGTAAGGAACGCCCTACTTCGGAATGATTGAGAAACACCCTGTCTCAGAATTTGGTTCAAAAAGGCCCTATCTCAACTGAAAATATGTTGACATAGGTCGTTTTTGTACCGAATTCTGAATTAGGGCGTTCTTCAATCAAATTCTGAAATAGAGCGTTCTTGAAAAGTTTTCCGAGATAGGGGGTTTCCTAACTGGCTGCCGAGATAGATAGATAGATAGATGTCGATCTTCCACTCCATTCATCATACATACATGAACTGTAGGCACCTGACCGCGTGATGTTCCTCGTTCAAAAGGTACTTACTGCTGAAGCGAATAATAAATGCAGAACTTGTTGACTCCAATAGAAGATTGTTTCAGGATAGCGGCTCAGAGGGGTGTACTATCTCTCTTTCAGTAGAATAATACATTTCATAGCTTGCTTAGTAAACTTGGAACAGTGGGAGATAGTTTACAGCAGACTTGCTCAACAAGTTCATCTTACTGAGCCAAACGACTACAACGTCAATAAAATATACAACAATATCGTTCTCAGAATAGCGAAAAAATATTTCAAGCCAAAACTATTTTGGCACTAAACTGACAGCAAACTAATGATACAAACCTTTAGCCAGACTTAAGACTTAACTTTCATCGATGGTGTTAATGCTGGACTTCTATAGCGCTTGACAGAAGGATTACCTATTGAATTTCAAAATAAAAATTGCAACCAGTGATGACAGTTAAGCCTCAGATGAGCTTTAACATCAGAAAGTAGTTTTTGTGTAAACTGCAGATAGGTTATATTGAATATAAGCCCTGAATATTGAAGTGCATTACTGTACGTTCTTAGCCTGATAGATGTTATATTGTGTTTTGATGATAATGATTTATATATAACGAGTTTTTCAGGAACGAATATACTGACTTCTTTTTAACTTCAATTTGCATAGCGTATAACTTTTTCTTGCTTTTTTTTAAAACCAATTAGCTTCGCTTTTTGCGATCATGTGACCACACTGCCTATAGCTGAGGACGCTGAGGATAGATCCCTACAATTATACGCAGATATCCCCTATGTATGCACGTATGTATGTAACTCTATTTATATATCGAGTCCCAACCGCCAAAAAGACGGGCCATGATCTTGCGTAGAATAGTTCTCTCGAAAGCCCCCAAAGCCTTCTCATCTGTCGTAGACAACGTCCATGTTTCTGCGCCATATAAAAGGACGGGCATATTGAGAGATTTGTAGAACGTGATTTTTGTTCGCTGAGAGACCGCTCTGCTTATGAATTGCCTACCGAACCCAAAGTGGCACCAGACTGACATTGGGGGTGTTTGTGCTGAATCCTAAGTAAAAAAAAGTCCTTCACCACTTCAAAGTTATGACCAGTGTTGCCACGGACATATTCTTTTATCTACCGAAACCTACCAAAACTTGTTTGAGTTTTTTACTTTTTTTTCAATGTCAAGTTTATTAAAAATGTAGATAACATTGCATTTAATAAAAATATAACACAGCTGGTACAATAAAAGAGAGAAACCCCATTTTATTCAAATGGTGGCCTAACATGCAATGTCCAGTCGGAATGCCAGTACTAGTACCAAGACTCTCCTGGCTAAGTTCAACGAGTCTTTCGGAGTTCCTGGAGGAACTTATTAATCTCTTTGATTGTCTCATTCCCTTTGACTTCCGCCAGCGGGCAGCAACATGAAATCGTTCCCAGCCCCTAAATAGTTGTGCAGTGTATCCTTTAGATGAACCACAGAAGCACTCAGGACCATGGCAGCGCATTTGGGCTATTCGCTTTGCGAGACAGTTAGCCTTTTCGTTGCCTTCAAATCCTTCATGTCCGAGAAACCACCACAACGTTACGCTATTGCGGGCTACCAGGCAGCTTAGAAGAGTTTTACAGCTGTCCCCAAGCCTTGATGCCGTTTTAAAAGGGTATAAGGGCTTCAACGCTGCCTTACTTTCCGACATAATATTTATTATGATCCCGAAGTCATTCGCGAACACAGACTTCCATTGGCAGACTTTCGGGAATCTTCGTCCAAGTATGCCTGCCCCAGTACTTCCGTCGTCCATCGTCGATCCGTCGGTATACTATACTTGCGACCTTTCGCCAATCATAGTTATTATCGTTTCACAGCAGTGCCTTTCAGGAATTCTGACCTTGTAGGATTTTAGAAGGATAACTCGGAATCATCTAGGAATGTTTTGAGATCCTCCAAATGTTCCCGAAGATTTCCACTTTTCATGCTGGACGTATTGGGCAGCCGTAGATCATTCCAGCAGCTTTCTTTTTCAATCAGAATCGACAAAGCAGGACTGCAAGTAATGACGCCAAGGGCATGGCTGTATTCT